AATTTTTGTTTTTCACTCTACACCCACAGAATTAGTTGGGAATAAAATGGTTATGGATGATGAATTTATCGTACTGTTGGCTTAGATCTTCATGTTAACTCATATATTTTTGGAATATAATTCGTAAACCGGCGATAACTCCTTAAAGAAAACAATGAAATTTCCAGAATATAACTGTGAAAACAATAATACTCAATCTTTTGAGTACTTTTAGAGGAAAAAACAAAATGGAACGAAATTAAATAAAATTGTTGACTACAAGATTAAAGGTAAACGATATTGTTCTATGAAAATACAAAATATTAAAAAGTTTCTAGGAATGTGTAGATGGTAACAATTTTCTTCATATTTTTAATGGTAGTGGAAAATGAAGTGTGCTGAACGTGTGATCTGCTAAATTATTAAAAGTCCAAATTCCCCAAATTACACACTTTTATACATTCTTTCCCTCCTTGGAGCCACATTCTTCCCTTCTTGGATCCTCTAGAATTAATTTCAGAACGTTAATTACTTTACTCTCTTTATTTTATCTTTTCATTACTTCCCTTGGAATCATTAACCCTTCCACTCCACATTAAAGTAAAGCATCACTTTCACAAACACTTGAGAGTTAACTAGGCTGTAACCATCCTGACGTATGAATATTAATATGTCAAAAGTTTTAAAATAAATCCATAGAACATTTTTGAAAGGGTTTAGTAATTACATTCTTCTTGTAAATGTAATTTATTCCAATATAATTATAGTTTTTAATAAAAATTACCTTAATTCTATTTTTCCTGTTAAATGTTATTTCATGTAATTTTCGTTTTGCTTGTATTATGGTCGCTCATTATATTCAAATCATATTTAAAAAGTAAAATTGTACAATTTTATTAAAAGGAAGTGCTTCACATACTAAATAACGTGGTATTAATGAACTTAAATGGTACTTATTTCTATTTTAGTTCAAATAATATCAGAAACTAAAAATACAAAGTAAGCAATGTAACAATGTTAAATAGAAAAATTTTACAGGTTCTAATATTCAAAATTTTAAATCAATATTCCATGTTAGAACTTTAAATAGTTCCAAATTTTTTTTTGTACTCGCTAAAATTAATTGAAACGAGATAAAGGTATAGTTAATCATGTCAACTCTGTGCTATACTTCCGAATTTGTTATCCTATATGTCATAGCTGATTGTGGGACGGAGTATGACTTTAATTACACTGGTTTTGTTTTACAAACGATATCAATATTGTAGTTTGAAGAGTTTCAAAAGTATAACCAAACGGCAATTGAAATTATGCGGCAGTTACCACAAACTACCCGAACCACTACTGACTTGATAACATCCAGTTTAAATGATGTTCCGGCATTTACTATAATAAATCAATTGTGAAATTTTGGCGGTGTTAGCTCAATTAGTTTTAGAATTACCATTGGAACGATTGGGCGACAGACAACAGGATGGTAAAATCGACTCAGAATTCAACGTCGACCAGACATTAGACTAAAACATTATTTCTTAGCGTAATAAACAACAGTAAGGCAAATTTATAATACTGTTTGAACAAACTTTCATAGAGATATAAAAATATAGAACTAAATTTTTCTCATATCGTAATAGCTGTACCATTTTTTATCATGGTTTGATTTTTATGTAAATTTGAAATCGACTTTCTCGTTTTAGAATATTTCCAACAAAATTATAGGAAAAATCTTCGTATTAGTTTCATTTAATCTTATTGTCTGTCCGAGAATCTAGTATAAAACTTGTGCGAATTTTGATGCAAAATGACGAAATTAATGAACTCTCTGATATTACTACAAATATTTTCAATAGTTCCTGTTAAAATTTGAATACAATATTAGCCCTTAGTTTTAAGTAAATTTTTTTTGTAGTTATTTAATAGTTTTATAGTTAGTATGTACATATGCAACTCAAACCTATTAGCAAAGTCGTTTATTAAAATTTGCAACACTACAGCCTTACCAAATAATTTTTTAAATTGTATAACAACTATTTCAGGAACTTTATATTATTATTGTTATACTTTTTCTTAATATTATACTTTTTCAAAATAGTGAAACTATTACAAAAATTATTTATGTTAAATCTGAATACTGCACGCTTTACTGCTTCCGAGATATCATCAATTTCTTGTTGAAATTGCATTGCAGATGCTACGTAAAACATAAACAATCAAATTTTGTCGAATTATTAGCCTGTTAACAAAGAAGTTTATTCAAAATTTAGTCTTTTAATGCAGACCGGCAGATAGTTGGACGAACGGATGGGCAAAACCATATCAATTCTGAATTCGGTCACTGATCAAGCACATATCCTTATGCTTATATTTCAAAAGTCTTAAAACTCCAAACGTTTTGGTAAATTTTTAATAAGTTTTGAACTTTCGTTCGTATGGATATTACTTATCTATATAAAAAATTGTCTTGCTTCACATTTTATTTTAACTGCAGCAGAAACCATCTTAAATTTTCTAAAATATACAACCCCGACGGTTATGCAAAAAATATAAATTTTTGAAAACAAATAATGTGCTCGTCTAGCTACATAAAACCTTTACTTGATTCGACTTCATCATAATAGACATTTTCAAATTTAAGTACATAAAAGTATGCTATATATGCAGAAGTACATATATGAAATCCTAAAGATATATCCACATACAGGATTAAAATTATAATTAAAATCAGAAGTTCACCTTTCATAAAATTTTATTCAAATTATTTTTTAATGGACTTATTTTTCATGTTTTCCATTATACACAAAATTTTATTTGAGTAATCAAAGTAAAGATCAATTAATAATGTACCTATAACGTTATAATGTACGTATAATATAATTGAAGGATAACAATAGTTGTCAAATAAATTTTAAATCATATTTAAAGCACGCTGACGTTATTAAAATATTAAAAATGATTTTTTAATTATAATATTGGAAAAAATATTAAACGATAATGCCATATTCAAAGAAAACCCGGAAATATTAATGATGCTTTGCTGTAGAAATCTCGTCAATCCGTTTAGAGAATAGTGAAAGATTTTCAAATATTTTTCCGTTATCAATATTTGTAAAAATCATATGACCAAAGTACTTGACATTTTTTATTTACATGCAATGTACTTGCCATTGTACATGTAGATGTTATCTACATGTTAACTGCTTGAAAATAATAACAAAACGCTGTCATACATCCCATCCTCTCAAAATAATAATTTATATAAATATTGCCTACCGTACGGGGCAATATACGTAACATGAAAAACAGAACAACAAAATTTATTTTAACAAAATTAGTTTCTCTCCTATCATGATTGGAGTGTTTTAAAAACTACCAAGAAGCACTTTTATTTTACCTTCAGCACATACATACATACATACAATAATTTATTACAATGAACTTAAAACCTTTTACGTATAAATTTTATTCGGTACCCAAATCTTTTATTGATTATCTGACATTATGAGCTCGATTTTATTTTACATTTTCAAAAAACAAAAACTACATTTACGTAGGACTATCGAGTTCGATGTGAAAAATTAAGAACATATTATTACAAGGATCGAATAACAAAAATCATTCTTTATATTTTCAGAGCCTTATCAAACTTCCTATAAATTATACATGAAAATTCGATAAAATATTTGAATATGTGTACTTTATTGAAAAATGTTGTTAACTCAAATAAATGTGGAGAAAAATAGAAACCTTTTCAGTAAAATAATAAGAAAAATTTTGTTTAAATTACTAAGGACTAACAATAAATATCCTTAACTTATATTATAATTTGTTCTAAGTCCTTTTTTGTGTTAACATTATTGATTCAACACAATTTTCAATGATATTCTGAATAAAATTTGTTGAAATATTCTATATATAATAGATTACTAATGATATCAAATCAATTTTGAAATGAACGTTGCTAATTGAGATTGTATTAAATTAGGATAATTAATTAAAATGTTCTCAATGATGGTATGTAATCAATCAGAGGACTAAGAGGAAAATACAACAAAATTATTTGCATTCATTAATAACATTCTATAAAAGAGGCATTCTGCTAAAAGGGGTGTGAAAAAGGGAAGCAATGTATAATAAATCTTCTATAATCTTATATGATTTGAAAATACTATAACTGCTTGTAAAAGTTTTTTCAGACTTAAGCACAATTTTGTGTGTATAAGATCATATTTAAAAAAAATTTTTTATTGTAATACAAAATTAACATTACATCATTTAATTTTAGATAGAATGGACGTGATTTTCTTAACAATAAAAATTTTATACTAGATACTTTGTGCTTGGAACTCGTTTTTAATTTATAATATAGATTTATATATAAATCCTTATATAAATTCATTAAATATTCTTCTACAAATATCGTAAAATATAATTGGAATTTTACCATTACTTGTACCATTGTCCTTTTATAAGTCTTATGAAGAAAGTTATTTGTTTTTGTTGTGACATAACGAAGAATCACATTTCAACAACCTCAATGTGCTATTTATCTAATTTTAGAGCCCGATATAATTTTTCTAAATTTTATTAAAACAATAATTTTAATTTAATATCTTTTATCAGTGGTTTTTATATTAGATCATTGTCAAATGCATATTAAACTCTCTTTTAAAATATCTCTATTGGAATTTTCTCGTTAATATACGTGCTCTTCATCTTCAAACCCCATTGCATCCAGAAAGATGCACTGTTCGCTTTAGATATAGTTATAGGATGCAGCCATTTACTTTATGATGGACGCAACTACCAATGTTGAAATCAGAATTTGGCAATAAATTATTTATGAGAAATATGTAAACATACAAGTTCTTAATGAAATTCATGTATACATGAAAGGAAGATTTAATATTTTACAATATTAATATTTTATTATATGGTATGATAAAATTCAAATAAAATTTTAATAATTCTTAAATTTTATTATTTAAATATAAAATTTGAATAATAATAATTTATAAACTTACCTTAAGTTCCAATCTTATATCACATATTGTTGAATTTGTAGTTGTATCTAATCTAGGACTAGCAAAATATATAAATGGTAAACAATGTAATGTACCTAACATAGTTAAACCAAATAATACAATTTTAGCTCTTTTAACTGTACACATTGTTTGACGTTTTAATGGATACATAACAGCTATAAAACGTTCAACAGTAAATGCAACAACAAACCATACTGATAAAAAACTGCATAAACTACTAAAAAATGTAAAAAATTGGCACAAAATTTCACGATTGTATAAGTATATATCTATGAAATTTAACCATTGTATAAATAAACCAATTAAAAAGCATGTATCACTTATTGCTAAAGCTGATAAATAATAGCTCGATGATAATTTTTTTAATTTTGTTTTAAAAAATACAAATACAGATAGTATATTACCAATACTACCAGAGAAAACTAAAATCGGTGTATAATAGCATGATAAAAAATTACCAACTGTTTCTGCAGCTATTAATAATATTGGTACATTATCAGTTATATTATCATAGTTATTATTAAAAATATTAGTTAAATTAATATCATCGGATGTTATTAAATATGGATCATTATAATATGATGATAAATTTGTTGTTGTTGTTGTGGTTGTTATCCCACTATTAATTGAATTTGATGATAGTGCTGCTGTTGTCGTTGCTGTTGCTGTTGCTGTTATCGCTGATGCTGTTGTTATAGTTTTTTTAATTAATATATTATTTATATTATTATAATTAGTATAATTATTTTTATTATTATTATGATATAATAATAATTCATGTTCATTTAATATATTTGGATTTTCATACATTATTAAATATTTTAAATTATTTGGTAAATTTCCTAAAATTGTGTTCATTTTAATTATTTCGTTCTTGTTTTTTTTTTTTTTAATTAATTAATGATAAGTTTGTGAATTTTAAATTAATTTATTGCATACTTTTAGTTTTAATATTTTCAATAGTTTATTTAAAAATTTACAATACCACTTATTAGGCATATTATTAAAATGTCGCACGATAATCTGCTAGTTATCTGTAATTTTAGAAATAAAATTTAAAATTAGAAAATATTTTCTGAATATATTGAAAATATTGAAAAGCATAGAAAATATTGAAAAGCATAGAAAATATATATGCTTTAATTTTTAAGCAAATTTTGAAAACCATGGATATAGGCCATAATCTGGTTGTTTCCATTGTGAATTTTAATAAATAAATTTAATTTCTAATTGTCAAAAATTGTTGTCAAATTGAAGCATCTGTGATGTAGTTTTCTTAATCTCTATTTTAAATATATTTATACTCACAAATATACGTAATATATATAGAGTGATTCAGGAAGGTATGCAATAATATAAAAAATTTTAATTCAAATACACCAAATATTAGAGAAAAACTCCTAACGCGTTATTTTTTTCAAAATGGTCAGGTTAGTAAAATTAGTTGACTGGAATACTCAAAGAATACACTTATACTTCTCGTTTTAAATAAAGCCTCTTAATCAGCAAAGTCTGTACATTTAATGCCACCCAGTTTATTTTGCTGAATACTAAAGAAATTTTCGTGATGAATAAAGAGAAAAAAGTAGAAATTTTAAAATATTGAAATTTTTCTGAAGTTTGAATGCTTTGTATTTTCAAAAATAGATGAAAAACCAAATGATTTATTATCTTACTTTAAATATCTCCAATATCCCAATATCCAAAAAATACTTAGGCGTTCAAAAGTTTTTTAAAATTTCTTTGAATTTTGTAGATTTAATAAAAAATCCGCAGCATAAATTTTACCCATTTTTAATCTTCATCGTTAAAACAATTGTATAAATTGTTGCATACCTTTCTGGATTAGCCTGAATAATATAGTTTTCTGTTCAAAAATTTAAAAAATTTCTTATTTTATATAACAAGACCAATTAAGATTACAACATGGTTAATATAATTCCAAGAGTAGCCTTTATCATGTGAATTTTTTAATAAAACTTTAAAAATTTTCAAAAAATAATAAAAATTTTTATCATTTATTGATTGTAGCCAACTAAATTTTTGCCAACTAAATTTCGCTCAAAATATAAATTTAGTTTCAATTTTTATTTCTTAACAAATTTAAAAAAAAAAAATTCATTAAATATCTAGAAAAATTAAATTAAAGTTAAAAATAATTCATTATCATTGCTCTTAAGACCACTCCAATCTGCAATAAAGCGAATAAAAAAAATAATTCGCCTTAAAAATGAAAAAAAATTTTTTTTTACTCAAATTATTCTTTTATGCCTCACTAATTCTATTATCCTTTTCTTCGTAAACTGATTTTAAATTTTCAGTATAAATAAGAAAGTTCTTTTATGAAAAAAAAATTATAGTAGTTATTCTAGTTTAATTCAATAAAAATATTTCAAGTATTTTTTTAATAATAATCTACGTAGAAGATAAAAATTTCAAAATATACAGAATGTTTCTTATCTAAGTGTACTGCTATGTACAATTATATAGGCCCTCATGAGTAGACAAAGCTTTTGTATGGAAGATGTTCACAATTTAGCAGGTTCGGAGTTACAGGAACTTAAAACCGATCTTGACTGATTTTTTTTACTTTTGAAATTTTAAGTATAATTCAGTGCCTGCGTAAAACAGATGTTATTAAATATGAATTGGAAACCTCAGAATAAGGACTTTCTCAGGAATACATTACTTATAATCTGTTCAGATTTCGCAATCACAAATTTGAAATTTTAGCTTTCAAAAAACGTTAATTTTTTAGGTAACGTAATATTGAAGCTTTCTCCAATTTTAGCAGGACTGGAAATTTCGTCTTCTGAGCTTTGGTTATATGGTTAGAAGTTGTTGAGGAAAATAGAGTATTGCAAATGTTATTTTATACCAAATTTTTTTCTACAATATTTTAGAAAAATGTACAACAACAGTTCAAACTGGTATCTCTCTTCTGTTATATGCTCAATTTAATAACCGAGTTTCCCTTACATTTGCGAAAATTAATGGACCCGCGAATATTATATGATCCGTTTCAGCGTGCACACCCTGTAGATTCCTATTAGAAAAAAATTTTAAAAAAATCTCTACTCTCTATACGGATTTTTCCTCCCTCACACAAAATTTATAGCTTGTAAAATTTCACAAGGTTAAGGTATGAAAAATAATTATGTTTCTCTATTTATTGTAATATTCGAATTCTTCTTTCAGTAATATATTTTACAGTTAACTGAAACAAATCTTATGAATTTTTTTCCTTTTCTGAACTTTTTGAAAAATAAATCTCTTGAAATTTTCTGCATTTTTTCATTGTTTCCCAGAGCACATAACTCAACAAATGCTCTTGTATCACAACATAATTTAGTTTAATATTGAGAAAAAAAAACAATTATTATTTTTATTTTTAATGATTTTATAAGAAATTTTTAATAAGGATTAAATCCTTATTAAAAATTTTAAAAATTGTGACTGATAAATCTGCATTGTACAAAAAGTTTAAAAATAATATAATTCTACATGTTAGAGTTAAATAATAGAATATAATGTTAGAACAAATAATAGAATTCTCCTACATATTAGATTTTTATATTGCATTCTAATTTAGTCATTTTGAGTCATATAGGTTTATTTAACTAATCAATACTGGAAATTGAATGGAGTTCATTGCAAAACAAAAAATAATTATAGAATAATTATTTGAGAAATTAATGTCTTAAGCCGAACTTAGGAAGAATATTAATTAGCTAAAAAATTACACCTCCCCTATAAATATGCAATTATTACAAAAATTTATGAAGAATATTATTATTCTACTCTAGATATTTCATTTTTAACACGATAGAGTCTAAACAGATTTCATGAGCAACATTTAATTTTTAATAATTATAAGCGAATTAGAAATGAATTACAACCGCCAGCATATTTTCTAATATTTATGCATAGGATTTGACATTATAATCTAAAACGTACATACATATCTACATGTATATAAAATTCAAATTAAGTTTGTAGACATTAGACTGTAAATTTTTTATTTTTATCGCAATAAACCTTTTTTTATTATCATAATTGATTTTGTATAAATGAAAAACAACACAATTTTATATGCTTTTATGTCAAATGTCAAAAAAAGGATTTCAAAAAAATATTCAGTAAATAATTATTATGTGCATAAATTTAAATTAATTGCAAAATTTCCAATTCTTATTTTTCACAATATTTTTATTTACTTCTATTATTTCATTTATGAAATTGGAAAATGCATAGAATGCAAAATAGAATTTTATATTATAATTGACAGATCAAAATAATTTTTATTTATTTTCATTGTATGAGTGTAATAAATTTTATTTTTAATATAGCCATTAAAAAAAAACTACATACATACATATGTCAATACATTTATTGACTGCAAGACAATTTTTATATTTCTCCCTTTATTCATGACCGTCTACTTAGTCATCGCATGACAGGTCACTTTTGGGAAGTTTTCTGTTTAGCTGAATATAGCTAACTAAAATAACTAAAATAAAAAACTACATTCTGTCAAATTGCTTTTGAATTTATTTCTGAAAGAAAATTTTTGGCTTTTAATTTAAAAAAAACGCCAATTTTGCAAATAATTAAACAAACAAAAAAAAATTTAAAATAATATTAGATTATAGTTAGTCTGGAAACGTCATCAATAATTATAAACACTGCTCTGGTTAATATAAGGACCTGGTTACGGTCCTCATTGCTCGGGACAGTGTCCTTAACCGGAACAGTGTCTATAAGAATAAATAATATTTAATGTGACTTCTAACATCTATTCAGTAGTAGAATAATATTGAATATTTCTTTGAGATTGAGTACTACCGTTATGTATTTATAATTTATAGTGCTATATACTGGAGACAACTTTTGTAATTACACAACAGAACTAACTAGTTTTCTTTAGGTGGCGTTATTTTTATTTAAAAAAACTTAATAAAAAAGCCTCGCTCACAAAAGTAGTTCGTTGTTAATTTATAAAAATTTTGTTCCGTATGGCACTATAAATTATACATACAATATGGTGCTACGTCAGAAAGAAAACAAAAATTTTTTAGCGTATTCCTAAACAATTTTACGATACATATTAGACAGAGTTTATATGGAATAAAAAATTTCTTTTTAGCTGAATATTATGCTTAATAACCTAACAATATATTTAATGTAATAAATTTTGTATTTATGACCTTCGAAAATTATCAATAAAGTTAATATCATTCTTAAAATTGATCTTATATTACTCAGTTACTATTTGCATCATTAAGAGTATTTACAATAACCTTCTACTTTGCAATAAATAACAAAACGTTCTTAATTATGAAAAAAAAAAATTTTAATAACCCTCAACAATAAATCAACGTAAGAAGGAAATTTTTCCTTATTTGAAAATCTAATAATAAGAAAATTATTGGAAATAATAATAAGCAGTTTTTACAAATCCGCAAGGATAAAAAAAAATAATTTTTTACCTTCGTCATAATATGCTTTATTTATTTATAATTCAATATTATTAAAGTGCAATAAACTAATATCAAGTGCAAAAATATGATTTGCAATAAAATTTATATATTTTTAAATGAAAATAGGAAAACAACTAAAATTAAATTAATCTATTCTATATCCTGAAGGAACCTTCGAAAACTACACTATTGCGATTGTCAATATACTTATTAAAAATTTATTATAGGATTTTGAAATAATCTGCTTACAACATTAATTTTTATGTTAGCCCGTTTATCCAAATTTCGTTATCAAACACATGGTACTCAAAAATAAACTCTACTATTTTTTTCAAACAATATTTTCTCTTATATCCCGGCAATTTGTATTGGCAAACCATTCTAAAAATTTGAAAAATGTTTATGGTTTCGGTACAATTAGTATTCAAAAAATGTTTTTAGGTTTTTGGTGGCCATTGCTTTAGATGGGGAGAGATAGATAAATTTTTAACGCAAATAAGTTTGTAATAAGATCTACGTACATATTAAATTTCAGCTTTCTATCTTCAAGGGTG